CCGCTTGTAACACACGCGGTGGGTTTAGTGAAGCATGTGCAAATTTAGGACATTCGGAAAACGCGAGTGAAAGGGAGGTTAAGTTGGGAGATCGTGTGGCTGAATTAGAAGTCCAACTGAAGAAGTTGAACGAGTCCAGGTCGTACATGTTAGACACTATGAGATCAGATAGAAACCAGAAAACAAAATGGGAGGACATGCGAAGATGCTACTCGTGTGGCGAAATAGGGCATATTTCAAAAAAATGTAATAAGAGAGTGTGTTTAAACAAAGATCTGGTCAATTGGGGGGTCAGACAATTGACCAGAGAAAAAGCAATTTGAACTTAACCAATCGCAATTTTATATCTGACCGTATGCAGGGGTGCCGCTAGCTGTTTGAACGCCCGTGTGCAATACCGATTATGCCGCCCCCTGTTTAACTACGACTACCTATGCTGAGCTTGCCAGAAAAACTCTTTGCCGCCCCAGAAAAACTCTTTGCCAGAAAAACTCTTTGCTCTTTGGACGTTTTAACTCATCAACCTGGACGTGCCGCCCGCGTGCGGTGCACGCTTTGCACGCCCGCTTACGGCGGCCCTGACCGTATGCTGCCAATCATGTCGGCAGATTTGGAAGGAAAAAAGGTGGGAAAACTAATCGATACGGGTGCTGAGCGCACCTTGGTAAATAAGAAATTCGTAAGGGAATTTAAAAAAAAAAATGTTATAAGTGGTACTATCACAAGTGAGGCATGTATCAGAGGCATGTCAGGTGTAATTATTATGAGTAATGAGGCATTGGCCCTTACATTTAAGTTAATAAGTGGTAATGAAATGGATCTCACAATTCCGATAATCGAATTTCCTAGTGGTGTGGATTATGATTTTATATTTGGAATGGACGTTTTAACTCATCAACCCGAGATATTCTCAGAATTAGGTTCTGTTGTGAGAGCAAGCCCCTCAATTAGAAACCATGATATTAGTATAAATGTCAGTGGTAGAGGGGGACATCAGGATGAGGTATGGAATCTGGATCACTTAGACGATAATATAAAAAATAATGTGAGGGAGATATTGGATAAATACCCCAAGGCTGTGGCTATGGAGATTTCCGACATATCAGGCATGAAGAATTACATGCACTCCGCAAGCCTGACCACGAACCACCCCATTAGTGTTAAACAATACAGAATCACTGTCAGTTATCTCCATGCACTAAAGGAGAAGGTGGGTGAATTGCTGAGGGCTGGGATATTTGGGGAAAGCTCATCAGAATGGAATTCACCAATCCACGTGGTGCCAAAGGAGTGGGGGGAGATCCGAATAACCTTAGATCTACGGAAAATAAATGAGGTCACCGAAGCTCAAGTATATCCAATGGCGAGAATCGACGATATTTTATCACAACTTAATGGTAATAAGTTCTTCTCCGTCTTAGATTTAAAAGCAGGATATTTCCAGATTCCCCTGGACCCGCGGGTTAGGCATATATTTGCGTTTTCTACTCCTTGGGGAAAGTTCCAGTTATGTAGGATGCCCCAAGGAGCTAAGAATAGTGGCCGTTATTTCCAACATGTTATGAATAAGGTGCTGGCAAAATTTGTAGGAAATAGTTGCTTCATCTTTCAAGATGATGTGGTTTTGTTTTCCCAAAAATTAGAGGACCACCTTGAGCTACTTAGTAGGGTCATGAAAGTACTGCAGGATGAGGGGTTAAAATTGAACCCCAGTAAATGCCAGATTCTTGCCAAGGAATTGAAGTATCTAGGGCATGTGATCAATGATAAGGGAATAAGCCCAGACCCTAACAACATTGAATCTATAAGAAGGATTAACCCACCCAATAACGTAAAAGGTGTGCGGAGTTTTTTAGGGGTAGTGGGATTTTTTAGAAATTTTATCCCTTCCTTCTCTGTCATTTCGAATCCATTGACTAACCTTACAAAAAAGGGAACAAAATTTGTCTGGAACTCAGAATGTCAAAATAGTTTCGAGAATCTAAAGGAGGCTATAACGCATCCTCCAATCCTGGCCCACCCAAATTTTAATGAGCCTTTCTATTTACATACAGATGCATCCGACATAGCAGCGGCTGCGGTGTTGGAACAACGACGAGATGAGGGTTTAGCTCCTGTAGGGTACTTTAGCAAAAGGTTTCAAGGTGCAGAAATTAATTACTCTACGATTGAGAAAGAGTGCCTCGCTATCGTTTTAGCATTAAGGCATTTTAAATATTTGGTCTTAGGCCAAAAGATCATAGTTCTATCAGATCACAAACCGTTGGTTTTTTTGAATAACATCAATAACGGCAGTAGGCGTTTAACTCGTTGGGTGATGGAATTATCAGATTACCATATTGAAGTACAGCATGTGAGAGGAATTGACAATAAGGTGGCTGATTTCTTATCAAGGAACGTAAATGGAGTGAGTTGCTTAAATATTGAATCAACGGGGGAAATGTTCCCAACAAGACAAGAAATTATTTATTCCCAGAACAACGATAGCACCCTCGGTCCTATAAAAAAGGATTTTTTAAGGAGTGATGGTAGGGGGGTTACAAGGCAGCTCTCGAATGATTATGTTGTTATGAATGATTGCCTGTATAGAAAAATTTGGTTAAAATCCCGGGGATGTCAAATGAATCAATTATGTGTTGGCGAAGATTTGGCCACAAAGGTTATTAAGGCTATACATGAAAACAAACTTTCAGGCCATTGGGGGTGCGAAAAACTATAAGAAACATAGAAAAAGGCTACTTTATCAGAAATTTAAAACGAAAAGTCGATCAGGTTGTTAAGGAATGCGAAAAGTGCCAGAGATATAACATACATGGGGGGAGGCACCTTTGCAGGAAAATGAAATTGCTATAGCACCGTTTCAGAAGTTCGCTGTGGATATAATAGGGCCCATTCATAAAACCAGAAAAGGAAATCAGTACATTTTAGTGATCATAGACATTTTTACTCGTTTCGTTGAGGCTCACCCACTACCCGACCAGACCGCTTTATCCGTTAGTAACATAATTTTTGAGAAAGTGATTTGTAGGTATGGCACCCCTGAAATGATAATTTCTGACAGAGGGACAAATTTCCTATCGTCCCTATTTTCTGATTGTTGCAAATGGCTCAACATTAAAAGAAACATAACAACCGCCTACAGACCATGCTCAAACGGCATTTGTGAGAGAGTGAATAAATCTATCATTGATATGATCGCAAAGTCATCTGGTGAGAGCAACATTGAGTGGAATGACTTGATTCCTCCAGCGTGTTTTGCCTACAATAATGCGCACCACTCAGCCCTTGATGATACACCTGCTTTTCTCCTTTTCGGTGTTGATCCCCGCACTCCAACCATCGATGAAAGTTGGAATCCTACCGATACTGATGAACGTAGATCCTTTTTGATAAGTAAGCTCAGGGCCATTAGGCGTATGGCAAGCGATCAAGCTCGTCAGCATAATAAAATTGGTAGGAATTACCATAATGTTAATAAGAAATTAAAGGAGTTTAGTGTGGGACAGAGAGTGTGGGTAAAAAGGAAGGGTGGTAAGAAAAGAAAATTTTCTAGTAATTATAAAGGTCCTTTCCGCATAGTGAAGGTCATCAATCCCACCACCTATCAAGTTGAGGGATGTAATCTAAGGGATAAAGACACTGTGCATGTAGATCGACTAAAATTATGTTACGGTGATGTCGTTGATAGACCAAAACGTAAAAAAATTGTAAAAAAGGTACAGGTCGAAAACATGTCAGATGATGAGGATGAGGCCCTGATCTGAGAATAATTAGGACAGCACCTAAAAGTGTACATGATGAGAGGAGCGAAAGGCATTCTAATGATGACCTCATTGAAGGGGAGAAACAAGAAAGACCGTATAATTTACGACACAGAAATATAGACTTCCGTAGGTTGCACTACGGTAAGTAATCTTAAATTGAGGGAGGTATGTAGTGCATAAGCACTATTGTATAGTTGTTTCCGTTATTTATGTACATATATATGTTATGGACAAAGTGATTAATCGGGCATTATGAATAATGACCAAATAGGGCGGGCAGTGTGATAAATATTGATTCATTTATCAAATTGACCGGTCATTATGAATACTGCTATCACCTAGTCGGGCAAAGTGATAATAATAAGTTGAGGAGTGATCATCTGACATACGCTAGCCAATCAGCACGCTGAGTTGCGTGTGCGTATCTTACAGCGTTTAGTACAGAATTTTAAATTTGATTAAAAAAACGCCACTTATTTCATTTAGAAATATTTATTTTTTGTAAATTATATCAAAGTACTATTAACTATATTAATTAAACTAATATTAACGAAAAATATTAACAATTTAAATTATATAAAAAAATTAAATGTTTTTTAGTTTATTTATTTGAGCAATTAAAATTTTCATGACATTTGGAATTACATAATTTTTTTCTTTGGTAGCATTTGCATCTATTAGATTTTTAATCAATTTTTCAGCAGCATTAACTATAGTTGTGGCCTTCAGAAATTGATGACATTCTTGCACATTCTCTAAGCGAAATTTCTGCATCCGGTACATCTCCAACAGAAATGAAGTTTTCTTTACAAACAGTAAATTGGTTTCTGGAATATAATAGATTTAATATGCCATGTTTGGTACCCAGTTTGTAAAGGTTTTTATCTTTAACCGCAACAATGACACCTAAAATATTTTTTCCGTCACTACGGGCTCGATCTACATCAGGTACACGAATCCTTACTGTATCACCAACAAAAGCTGCTGTGTATTTGGAATTTGATGTATTAATCATTTTTTCTGTTTGCTTTTTAAGATTAAACAAAGACCTTGTTTTAGACACACTTATTTTTTTTTCTATTTTTGGATCAATTGTTTGGATTGTTTCTTCTTCATTCACCAATTCTGTAATACTAATAACATTCTGGTTTAGATTTTTTTCACGTGAAGACGATGTAAATCTTTGAACTTCATCAGTTATATTGCTATGTAAGAGTAGCATTATCAAATAGTATTTCATAATGTTTTCTGGACGGTACCCGAACTTTCAGAGATTGAGCAACTTTGACTTACTTCGTTGATAGTTTTAAAAAGTCTCTGTAGATCCTCTTCCGTATTAACGTTGAACAACGATTCGTTGGGTATAAAATTCTTTAGTCCAACTTTTAACTTTGCTCCAAACATGGCCTCATATGGACTGCAGTTTATACCAGTATGATGCGCTCGATTTTTCATCAGTAGTACAAAACGTAATCCTTCCGACCATTTGTTAGTATTGTTAATCTCCAACCAAGAACTAAGCATATTTTTTACTTCTTCATTACATCTTTCTACTGAACTCTGACTTTGTGAGTGCCTGGGCTTTCCATGCACCATTTTTAACTCGGACCACATATTACATGTTTCTTTGATGATATTATTGGCGAATTCTCTGCCATTATCGCTTTGTAGAATACTCGGTGCACCAAAAATTGTAAAAATATCTAAAAGAACATATGCTACTTCTTCAGCCTTTTTGGTTTTTAACTCGTTTAATCGGTTGTTGAAGCGATTATTCATATCACTTAATGATTCCTTCATGATCGTTACTTTTGTCAAAGAAGAAAGATTAACTACTGGTCACATAAATTTAAAATTCGGTACTAAATGCAATACGCGTGAGCAAGTAAGATGTAAGTTCTGATTGACTAACGTATGTCGGATGATCACTCCTCAACGTATTATTATCACTTTGCCCGACTAGGTGATAGCAGTATTCATAATGACCGGTCAATTTGATAAATTATTGAAATTTATTACAATGCCCGATTTTGTTGGTCATTATTCATAATGCCCAGGCATTATTTATAATGCCCGTATTAATCACTTTGTCCATAACATATATATCGGGTTTTATTGTAAAATTTCGTTTTATTTCATATATCGGATTGTGAACGATTTATTTTTGTGTAGCCAGAAATAGACAGCGCCACTTTTAAACACTTGGACTTCATATAAAGTCAAATATTGCAAAAACAAAAAGAAACTTCTGCAACTTAAGAGTCTTGCGAATAAAATCGTTTTTACTGAAAAAATAAACATATGGAAATTATACAATCTATTTTTGTGTAGCCACAAATAAACAGTGCCAGTTTTAAACACTTAGACTTCATATAAAGTCAAATAAAGCCAAAACAAAGAGGAACTTCTGCAACTTACTAGTCTTGCAAATAAAATTGTTTTAATTGGAGAAATAAACATATGGTAATTACACAATTTATTTTTGTGTAGTCAGAAATAGGCAGTGCCAGTTTTGAACACTTGGACTTCATATAAAGTCAAAAAAAATTTTCTTTTGTTTTATATATATACTTAAGTATAATTATATTTTTTATTATTCATTCAATTAATATGATTATATATTTAATCTATAATTTATGTTTATATGATAATTTTTTAAAGTTCTAGAATAAAATTAAAAATATTAAAATAGAAGAAACATCAGATCAAAAAGAAAAGTCATTCGATAAAATAGAAATATATTCAGAAATGTTAAAATTGATGAAATCGAAAAAACAGTAAGTAAAGCCATTTGCAGATTGAGTGGTGGTAAATCGTCATATACAACAGCATCGAATAAATGGAGAAGAAACAAACACGAAGACAAATAAAATAATGATGATAAAGAAAGCAGAAACAAAGAAAAACTTTTGCAACTTATGATTCTTGCAAATAAAATCCTTTTAACCAGAGAAATGGACATATGGAAATTACACAATTTATTTTTGTGTAGTCAGTAATAAGCAGTGAGAGTTTTGAACACTTGAACTTCATATAAAGTCAAATAAAGCAAAAACAAAGAAGAACTTTTGCAACTTACGAATTTTGCAAATAAAATCGTTTCAACCAGAAAAATGGACATATGGTAATTACACAATTCATTTTTGTGTAGCCCAAAATAGGCAGTGCCAGTTTTAAACACTTGAACTTAATATAAAGTCGAATAACGCAAAAACAAAAAACATCTTTTGAAACTTACGAGTCTTTCAAATAAAATAGTATATACCAACGAAATAGACATATGAAAATTAGACAATTTATTTTTGTGTAGCCAGAAATAGGCAGTGTTAGTTTTAAAAACTTGGACTTCATATAAAATCGAATAAAGCAAAAACAAAGAAGAACTTTTGCAACTTACGAGTTTTGCAAAGAAAATCGTTTTAACCGGAAAAATGGACATATGGAAATCACACAATCTATTTTTGTGTAGCCAGAAATATACAGTGCCAGTTTTAAAAACTTAGACTTCATATAAAGTGAAATAAAGCAAAAACAAAAAAAAACTTTTTCAACTTACAAGTTTTGCAAATAAAATTGTTTTAACCGATAACATGGACATATGAAAATTAGACAATTTATTTTTGTGTAGCCAAAAATAGACAGTGCCAGTTTTAAACATTTGGACTATATATAAAGTCAAATAAAGCCAAAACAAAGAAGAACTTTTGCAATTTACAAGTCTTGCAAATAAAATCGTTTTAATTAAAGAAATAGACATATAGGAATTACACAATTTATTTTTGTGTAACCAGATATAGGCAGTGCAAAATTTAATCACTTGGACTTCATATAAAGTCAAATAAAGCAAAAACAAAGAAAAACTTTTGAAACTTACGAGTCTTGCAAATAAAATCGTTTTTACCGGAGAAATAGACATATGAGAATTAGACAATTTTTTTTTGTGTAGCCAGAATTAAACAGTGCCAGTTTTGAACACTTAAACTTTATATAAAGTCAAATAAAGCAAAAACAAAGAAAAACTTTTGAAACTTACGAGTTTTGCAAATAAAATTTTTTTAACCGGAGAAATAGACATATAAAAATCATACAATCTATTTTTGTGTAGCCAGAAATAGGCTGTGCCAGTTTTAGACACTTGAACTTTATATAAAGTCAAATATTGCAAAAATGAAGAGAAACTTCTGCAACTTACGAGTCTTGCAAAGAAAATCGTTTTAACTGAAAAAATGGACATATGGAAATTACACAATTTATTTTTGTGTAGCCAGAATTAGGCAGTGCAAGTTTTAAACACTTGGACTTTATATAAAGTCAAATATTGCCAAAACAAAGAAGAACTTTTGCAACTTACGAGTTTTGCAAATAAAATTCTTTTAATCAGAGAAATAGACATATAGGAATTACACAATTTATTTTCGTGTAGCCAGAAATAGGCAGTGCCAGTTTTAAACGCTTAAACTTCATATAAAGTCAAATATTGCCAAAACAAAGAAGAACTTTTGCAACTTACGAGTCTTGCAAATAAAATTTTTTTAACCAGAGAAATAGACATATGGAAATCACAAAATCTATTTTTGTGTTGCCAGAATTAGGCAGTGCCAGTTTTAAAAACTTGGACTTCATATAAAGTCAAATAAAGCCAAAAACAAAAGAACTTTTGCAGCTTATGAGTCTTGCAAATAAAATCTTTTCAACCAGAAAAATGGACATATGGTAATTACACAATTTATTTTTGTGTAGCCTAAAATAGGCCGTGCCAGTTTTAAACACTTGAACTTCATATAAAGTCAAATAACGCAAAAACAAACAAGAACTTTTGAAACTTACGAGTCTTGCAAATAAAATTGTTTTAACCGGAGAAATGGACATATGGAAATCACACAATCTATTTTTGTGTAGTCAGAAATAGGCAGTGCCACTTTTAAACACTTGGACTTCATATAAAGTCAAAAAAAATTTTCTTTTGTTATTGCTTACAATGTTAAACGTAGCTAGTGTTCGATATTTTTTAACTTTACAGCCAAGTTTATTAAGCACGTGAAGAACCAGTAGCCAAACTTCTTATCGATAATGACTAATTTTATATAGTGTATTATTATTTTCCGCGCTTCATTTTGAGGGCATTGGACGTTGTTGAGAGGTTAAAAATAGGATGTTTAAGGGGCTGGGACCGTTTTTGGGAGTGACCGTTTTTGGATGTTATTTTGTATGCAGTTTTCTTCCAAAAAAGAAAGTCCTGAAAGAAATGGCCGCTATTCAAGATGGTCGTTATTAGAGGCTAGACTGTATTTTAAGCAATCGGTAATCAAAACTGTAATAAATATTAAATTTTCAAGATAATTTGAATGCTATTTTATTAGTTATTTGTTGAAATTTTAAAGGGATTCAAAAATTGAGTAACAATAATTGTAAATAATTGTGCATTAAGATATAAATTCTAAACTAGCAATTAGTTTAGCAATTNTCGTCATATACGACGGCATCGAATAAATGGAGAAGAAAAAAACACGAAGACAAATCGGATGATGATGATAAAGAAAGCTAAAACAAAGAAGAACTTTTGCAACTTACGAGTCTTGCAAATAAAATCCTTTTAACCGGAGAAATGGACATATATGAACAGTTATACAAAAGATTAAATTTTCTTATTAAAGAAAGTAAAAATGAAATGAAGACTGAAATGTCGTACGAAACAAATAACAGTGAAACGCTTGATATGTTTTCTGAGAGTGTCGACGATAAAATGTTCTCAGTTGCCGATAATGTGAAACAAGATAAACCGTCAAATGAAAATGATGCCAACAATACTCTGTTGAGTAAAGGTAAGAAGTTTTATATTATGAATTTTTGATATTAGTCAAAAATGAATTTATGTAGTAGAATTCATGTTTTTAAGTACATGTAAAATTTAATTTGTTATATATCAATCATTTTCAGTAATTTTAATTATGGTAAATCTTTGAATAATTATTCAGTCAGTTTGATTTTCTGAAATATTTATGTATTTCAATTGAAAATTATTTCAATATATAACTTAACAAAACATGAATCATGTCAGAAACTTTATCCAAGAAATATGAATATAAATATATTTGGATTCTTATTATTAACTTCAATCATTTTAATCCTTTTTAATTACATTAATTTTTCTTACAGCAAACATTATCTGGGTTTAATGACATATGATTTTTATTTAATCTTTTTTAATTTCACAATATGGATCTTTATTCAATCATATATATTTATTGTTGTTAACTTGTTCTATTATCTATTTTTAATAATGCCTTTCTGTTTATTTTTCTTTTTATATCTATTATTACTTTTAAATTCTTGTTTTAAAGAAAGAAAATTTATCATCTATAGTTCTTTTATCCAACTCTGCCATCAGGCGAGCCTAAAAATGGCTCCTCACTGCACCATAACTCAAGCTGAGTTGTGGGCTGTCAACAGGTCATTAGCCTACATTGATACTAATATGAACAACTCCAAAGAAACAATAGAAGTAAATGTAGACAGTAGGGTGGTGTTACATACTCTAAATAACCAGAGAAAAAACTCAACTTTAGCTAAGGAGACAATACAGCTAGCCCAAAGAATAGCAGGCACAAATAACTTAACTATTCAATGGATCAAAGCTCATGGGGGTCATGAGGGAAATGAAAGGGCCGACAAACTAGCGAAAAAAGCTGCAACTACCGATTCCAAAATTACGTATAGTAGGGTTCCTAAGACTGAAATACACAATCACCTTCATGAAATTGTCGAAGAACTGTGGCAAAGGGAGTGGGAGATCTCCAACACTGGGAGAAGCTGTTACAACTTCATCCCAAGGATACAGGATAGGAAAAAAAATAAGACATTTAAACCAGGCTATGAAATCACCCAGTGCTTTACTGGGCATGGAAACTTTGGGTCATACCTTTTCAGATTTGGTAAGGCAACAACAAACACATGCGAGACCGACAACATTGAAGACAACGTAACGCATTTCCTATACTACTGCACTAACTATGAGGATAAATGGCAGCAGCTTTACAGAGAATGCATAATGCAGGGGATGACTTGGCCTCCACAGTAAAAAGACATATTCAACAACAAGGACCTCTTGTGTCATCTCACCAAATTCATCAAAAACACCGGGAAACTAGCAATCCCATTGCAGAATAGTGAACAATCTCAGACCAGGAAAAACCTACCTGTTCTTGAGGACATCAGTGATGAAAGTTTCACTAATAGCGAAGAGGATCTCTGAAACGAACTGACCACCATGTAGTTAATGTTTCTCTGTTAGGCATTGTAGCCACTTGTTTACATCTTCGCAATGCAATTGCCCATTTTGTATTGCCCATATTGTAATTACCCACTGTGACTTTTTTGCCTTCAGCTTTGAAAAATTCTAATTTTTTTAAGATATTGTAACCTTAGTAACCTTCTGTTTTAATACTTGTATTTAATACGTAAATCGATAATTAAGGTTAATACTTTATCTTTCGGCCATGTTTTCATGCTGTTTTCTGTAAACAAAAAAAAAAAATAATAATAATTCTTTTTTGTTTATTCTGTAATCTGATTGTTGTATAGACGATTGTAACCATCTGTTGCTATAAATCAACGGTTCCCAACCTTTTTCGGGTGGCGACCCCTTTTTTATAAAAGCCAAGTGTCTTGCGACCCCGATACAATTGAAAAAAACATTTTTAATAAGGTAATTAAAAAAACAACGAAATTAGTTTTTTTAGTATAATAGCGAGGCTGGGCCGAAGTTTCAAACGCGAAAACGTGTACGTCAGACGTTCAGCGCCTCTTTCCTGTAAGCCTAGAAGATTAACAATGATGTTTGGAATGTCGAGCATAATTCCACTGACTTTTTTAAACTCTTTCCTCCGTTCTGTGGGCACTAAGAGAGCCTCTTTTTGCAAGCCCATTATGGGTTCGGCTAGGCCCACCCACAATGGGGCCGCCGGGTAGTCAGGGACGAGGTCCGACATATCCAAACAGACCACCCCCGAAGAATTCCTGGAGATTTTTCGACCCTTTCGGATTCGAACTCGGGTCCCCCAGAGCGCTGGGCTGCGACCTTGACCGCTCGGACATCCGGCCGCTGATTCCACTGACAATCTAAACACCATTGTCAAACTTCTAGGCTTACAGGAAAGCGGCGCNTTTCTTCTCACTTCTTTTCCTTACTATAGGGCTAAGTTTGTCTTGAACAGACAGCTCTCTACTTAACTTTATACTTATCTTATCCAACTCTGCCATATATCATGGCAGAGTTGACACATGACTAAACAGTAAAGCCTGGTACTCACATGCATCAACGAACGACGGAAACAGTTGCCGTTCCGCTGTCTTTCCGTGTCCCGTATATTCACATGCGGAAATTACCCTACAATTGAAACGCGCCATCTGCCAGCCATAAATATAAACCAGCTACTACAGTAGGTAGACCACGTGCCAGTAGTTGAAAATGGTGTCTACCGGGATTGCTTTGTTATATCAATTAAACTTTTTTTTTTATTTGCGATAAATCGAAGGCAAACCTAAAATCTCAAAAACGAATAATTTGGATAGGAAAAATATTCTAAATTGTCGAAAGTTAGGAATATCGAATACTTTTGTCGCCGAATTACGCTTACTCCATTCCCAATACTTTACGCAGTAAGTAAGTCTATTTGACATTAATATTTAAATCGGATAGTAATATAGAGTATAAATGAAATATATTAGCGTATTAGTGTACAAATAAAGCTTTTTAGCTTGCCGACCGCCATAGTTCGAATACTATCGTCCCACGTGATCTTTATGACGACATTGCTAAACGATCTTCCTATTGGTCTAATTTTACCATGCCGCTTTCCATCGCGGCAAAATTTGAAAATTTTCAACTTCGTATTCCGTCGACGTCAACGGCAAAAGTGACGTCATTTTGCCGTTCCGTCGACCGTTTCCGTCGTCTGTTGCCGCATGTGGGTACCAGGCTTAAGTTATGTTCTACTCCCAATGCTAAGAAATTCTAGATATATTTAGTAGTTTAGGTATCACTACGTTAGATTTATTATCTATTGGATGTCGATATGAAAAAATCTTATTAATTTTAGTGCTTTCTTATATTTATAATTATTCACTCTTCCTACAAAAGGATTATAACTGTAAGAATTTCTATTAAGATATATCAATTAAGGAAAATTACTTAAATTATTCTATTTTTTTTTTTTTTTGTTTAAATCTAATCACAGATTTAATTATTTTTCTCTCAATTTTCCATACCGCATGTCTAGGAATAACATTAACACATTCTTTATCTATTGTTTTAATTTTAATGTTTTTTGAGGGAAGACACCACTCCTAAGGTAATCTATGTCGTGCTTAAGTATTTCCACTTGTTTCGTCATCTTTATTAAACTGGATTCTATGCCCATGTCAATTCCTTTATCCAATATCTTCTAATGTATGATTTTTATTGTGTCATGTTTTAAATTTACATATATCATTAAACCTGGATAATGTTTGCTGTGAGAAAAATCAGCCTAATTAAAGATCACAAATAGCCAATCAAATCAAAGTTTCATCTATGGTATGTGATCTATATTCTGCCAATCATACAAGTCTAACTTCACACTTCAGCAAACTGGAAGTGCCATCATTATTTCAAATACTTATGGCACATTTTGGTGTAAAAGTTTGTCATAATGGCTGCCACAATTTCTCAATGTTATATATAACAATCAGTCAAAAGATGACCCCGAAAATTTTTGCATTTCTCAATATTTTAAGGTTTTTCTACATGTATAGATATTTGTCTGGGGACCATGATTTTGTTCTTCTACTTTAATAATTCTTGTGTCTTTTCTCAAAAAATTTTGTGGGGAGGTTTGAGTATTTAGGAGGATTAATGCTATTAAATTTTGATGGTTAGAGGTCATGGAGTGGAGTGATAGGGGGTCATAGTGTGTGGTTGGATTATTTATCATAAATTAATGTTTGAAGACCAAAAACATTTGTTTCTTCTCTTCCCAATTCCAGTTTTTGATAACTTATTATTACTAAACAGTGATTGAATAGTCTATCACTTCACTTTTGAATACAGAATCTTGAAGGAAACAGTCACAGAATTAATTTTACTACATTTTTTCCATACTACTGTATTTTATAAATAGCAGACAGTCAATACCCAATATTCTGCTTTACCATGCAATGTGCTATATGCAACAGTTTTCATTACAGAGAATATTTTTTAATTCAGTAAAGCATTCGAGATGGAGAAACCAGTTCATTCTTAAATCAAGAAAATACAAATAACATAATTAATAGTAACATTCATCTCGACCAAAGGAACACAAAAATACTGGTTGACTGCTAATGTTTTCAGTCTCTTCTCCACCTAAAAAACAAAATTGACTTCATTATATTTTTAATTATGTTTCCTGTAGTTAAAAAAAAGACACTAGTCACTAGTTCATTTGCAATTGTCGTCATTGTGATTTAAAAAAAAAATTTTTTTTTAACTGACTGGATTTTGATGATTTGTAAACTTACAAATATTAGATTATGCAGTTGATATTTAACATTACTGTAATTTCATCATACAATAACAATAAACATTAAATAGTTTAAATTCTGCATTTGCAAGTATAAAGGAACTCTATGAGTGATTCAATGATCCAAAACTCTGAATTTTAACTTTATTAGTTACTGATTTGGAGTTGTAAAATGCATCTAAGATTATTAAGTACAAAGTTAGATTCATTAAATCATATGCTCATTACTAACACTTCAAAAAAGTTCAGATAAACTAAGACATTTTTGGCATATAATATCATTGGTGGTTCTTATTACAATTTTGGACAAAGACTCGGGGAGCCAAGATATGGGGCACCTTTACACACAAAAAAAATCAATCCTTTGTTTAATTCCAGCAAATTAAGACTTTTCCTTGCTTAGATTTCCAGTCATAAACATGCAAAAATAATTTAGAAAATAGTGCTTCAAATGTGTTGCCAGTTTTGGTAGCAAGTTCATAAAGGAATTTTTTTATAAGTTTTAATTTACATTCTAGAACAACTCACTAGTTTAGCAATAAACTATATAGCAGGGATGGCCAACACGTAGATTGTGGTCGACCGGTTGACCGCAAAGGTTTTGGAAGTAGCCGGCAAAGCTAAAGTTGAACAATTTGCTTTCACTTAAATTAATGTTTAAAAATCTTAATTCGATAATTTATTCTTACAATAATAGACTGTCTGTACAACATACCCATACTGTTTGTATTTATTCCGATGAACAATGCAAATGGATGTTAACGCATTCGCATATAAATGGCAATCGCATAAAAATGGCGCGAAATCATGTGTCAGATAGTAGTGTGACATATTCATAGTCGCTCGCAGACTATATTTTACCGAAAAAGTAGCCCGTAAGGGATAAAAGTTTGGCCACATCTGCTATATAGCATGAAACTGCATCTATGATCAATGTAGATGAATTATTACATCTTAAATACAAAAGTTTTAAATTTACTCCTAATAACTGTATAGAAAGATATGATATATAGAGTATGTATACAAATGTACCTGTACTAGTGTTAAAAAAATTTTAATTATCATTTTCATAAATATCCACGTGTGTGATCATACACAATGTATAGAGGTGTTATGCCTAAATTTTATAAATACTGCATTATTTTAAAATAACGTATTGCATCTACATTTTGGGTATTCCACAATCGTAACAATAAACAAACCTCACTTACTTTTCTGGCAAACTGCCATATGCATTACAAACATTTTCAACATTTTTTGAGAAGCCTGCTTTGGATTGTTCTCTCGTGCAAACTTCATTGTCGATTCGAATCTTTCAAACTCCACATCCAATCTAAAAAATTCTCATAATTTATCATGTATAATGCAAGTCAGATACAAATGTTACACCTGTTGAAGAATATTTAATTATAGTCTTGCTGGTGCCTCCCATTGATGTAGTCAATAAATAATAATAATCTATTTTATGTATAGTACATTGGTTTTTCCTGTTCAGGATTAAGCCAGACCCATTTTTACTTTACAAATAAGGGGTGTTCATGTTGTCGCAATATTGATTTCGAGTACTTTCCTCTTGCCGACAGTCTTAAAATATAATTCGTCGCTTGTTATAATCGATTTTTATATTAAAAAATGGTAAAAATAACATTTTTTTAATTTTGATAGATGACGAAGTGATGTGGGAATTTAAGTGGGAAAACGAAGAAAATGCCGCAATTTACGGTCCGCATCCGTCGTCGGAAATGCTCCGTTGGGTGGAAGAAGGATATTTTGAAAAGGGAGTATGGGTGAGAAAAGTGGGACAAAATTCAGATTTCTACAACTCACGAAGGATTGACTTTGACCTGTATGTCTAAAACGGCATGTACATTTTGTAAATTATATCGAATTGTTCGATAAAATCTTAAAGCAGGAAAACTTCTGGCATATTCCTTGTTTACAATAAAAAACATTTTTAAATGTCAAAAAATCATTTAATTTATCTTAATCATAAAACATTTTGTGTTGATAATTTCATATATAAATATCAGGAAAATCATTTACAGAGATGAATTGAAGATTTTTGTATTCTGATAACTAAATACTCTCCTGTACTATTTTATGTAAACTGATTAAAAGAAAAAGATGGAATACCTTATAATATTTTTGTTGATTCTTGTTAGAAAATTATGCATCAACTAAAACAGGTAAATGGAATGAAAATTCAACACTCCCATTTTATCACCCTATGCAATATATATCATGAATCTACTACAATGAGAAACCGGGGTAAAAAAAAACCACAGGAATTTTTTGCAGTTATTCTATTTTGGACGTGTCGAGCCTCAGCTTTACTATAGGTTCGGCCAAACTCGCAACAGATATGATTGATCCATGACGACACGCAGTAATGGGTGATATTTTACCACATTGATTTTCTTAACCGTGTTTCATGTTATCTATCTGATTGTATGAAGGCCCGTGATAACCGAAACTTTTAAGAACCACTTCCTCGTCCATGCAAATATGTACAGTTTTTCATTATTGTCACACAATCCTATGCATTAGGCAGCTATTTTCTACGCTGGCATCATCAAAAATGACAGCATGGAGGTTTCTTGTGATTGCTGCAAGAGGTAGTCACAACGTCAGTGATGTTTTGTAGACTGCACATCATTATGTCAAGCATAACTGACAGTCATTATGACCTGATAGCCTGGGTGCTGTGACCTTTGACGATTTAAATGTTTTTGCAGGATTATTTTGTGTCCGAAAAATCCTTGGCCTTTCCTCCCATTTATTCCCAGCTGAACTTGATTCACATCAGCCAATACTATTGCAAATTTCGAAGTGCTCCCTACAGTAGCTTGGTCAAGGACATTACTTCATAAACAAAACATGACATTTAAATTTGGCACATGCAGAGAAGAGTCATTACAGGATTTTTCAGATTTGTCAAATTTCAAATTTGAGGAATGGCCATGGGCGTAGCCAGAGTTTTTTTCTGGGGGCCTAGTGGAGGCCAACCTGACACAAAATTGAATTATTTCAAATTATTGTTCATTATTGGGCACCGAGCAAGCCGTTCACCCTTTTTTAGTATTTAAAACTTTTATTTTAGCTTTAGGTTTTTACAAATCGACTCAACACTTTTTCGGCTGTGATTTCCTGGGGGGGCACCAGGTTCTCTGGGAGGGGCCGTGCCCCCCTGGCTCCCCCCTAGCTACGCCCATGGCAATTACTAAAAAACAAAAAATCAGTGGAAAATTGCACATGCAGCCATGATTTAAAAGACCATTTTAGTGTCTCAGAGTAGAGAGACAAAATGAAATATTTATGGAGTTTTTTTTTAAGTTATAAATATAAAATATAATGTTTTATTTATCTCCCTAGGCACTAATAAAGTAGAAAACATTAAAATACCCTTTGTTGATAATGCAAACTAACTGGAATCAAAAATGATTTGGATTATTGACAGTGAATCGTATTTACAGAATTATATCGTCTTTTCTAGAGATGTTAGAATCTCGCTTAAAATGTAATAAACTATTCCCATTTTTCTTGTTAACAATTCAGTAACCCATTCAATTGACACAGAAATCAAAATGGAGTCACATATACAACCTACTTTAGTGTTAATACATTCCCATCTTTGACATCTAATTATAAAAATCATAAAATAAACAAAAAGCAAAACTCATTTAGGGAAAATAAGTTCTCAAATAATTTATTTACGTCAAATGAAATTATTCACATCGGATATGTCGTAGGAATTTTTGTTCGATTATTTACATTACGACTGGAATGTTGGGTTGTTCCGTTCTTTCTAAATTCTTTCCTTGCGGCTAAAAAATTTAAAAAGATTTATAAACAAGGCATTAACGTCAAACGAAATCAAATATTTAGTGTCATACCATAATATGTATGTGGCTCGGCAACATTTCTTGCATCAGGTCGTCTAATGCCACCCCATTGGAGTTACCGGGATTCAAAATTAACCTCAGTCGTGGTAACGGCACGTAACCCGATATTAAAGGATACAGATTGTAAGAGAGCTTGTAGACACTCCGGTAGTATTCGGAAGTGCAGCTGTAGAATAATAATGACATATGAGATGATGATTTACTGAAAATTAAAAATAGATGATAATTTCTGGATCTAAAAAAACATTAAATTTTCAATAGAATACATTTAATAATACTGTCAAATATCTTGATTCTAAAGAAACTAATTAAACTTTACAATAAATTATCGATTAAAGGTTAAAAGGTTTAAAGTTACATTATCTATATATCTATATATATAAAAATGAATGTATGTCTGTGTGTGTGTCCTATGTCCTTCATGCATTACCACACCGTTTATCCGATTGCCGTGAAACTTTGGGAAGTTGTTTAATATACTCCGGCGAAGGTTTGTGGC